GGTCTGCTTCCTGGGGGGGGGGGGTCTGGTCGAGGACCGGGCCGCGGAGGCACTAAGCCCCGAAATCATCTCAAGATACATAAATTTGATTGAAGCATAACTTCTGGAAATTTCCTAACACTGCTGATGGACAAATTTTCGTGAGCTTCGTTAATGCCTTGAACTGCTCTTGTTAGGTGAGGGTTCCAGCCAAACCCTCGTATACCCGATGAAAGGGAATTCCTGTCTCGCAGTGAATTCTGACGCGCCTATTCCTTCAAGGACGGAGTAGAATTGACCGCACAGTGGAGATATATTGTGTGAACAGTTGACGAGAGGTCCAGGCTTTTGAGGCTGGAGAATTACTGGATAATGCCACAGATATTGAATGTCAACACTCCCAAGGACGGGACGCAGGTCGTGCGCTTACGGTGGGATTTGGAACGCTGAAATGTCCACAATGTCTCTCAAAGCGTTAGGAGAATCCCATGAATTACGTGAATATTCTCCATTGAATAATTTGGGCGGGAAGGAACGTAGCAGACTGGCTTATGCTATATTTGTTGGTGTGAGAGAGAGATCTAAATGTTACTTGGGGCGGGAGGCAGGTCCTTGAGAGAGCAGGTCCAACCGCCACATATTCAAATGTGTGGTGCCTCTTGAAGGCTCTAGTGAGAAGGTCTCCTTTGAATAAAATGTTGTTCTGAGTAATTGTGACATGAAGCTATGACGTTGCAAGGCACGCTGGCCGCCAAGCCATCCCAGGGTGCAACCTGCCCTCCTTGACCGTCGTATTTTGACGTATACTCTACCAGAGGCCAAAAATCGTCGTACTAAAAAATGGTAACGCTTCGCGAAATTAACATACTGTCTCGTTTTTTATTATGGGTTCTCTGATAGGTTAGGAAAGCATCCTGTCCTTCAAACAAGGACTCATAAGTGATTCCATGCACCCGCCAAACTCCCTGTTTATTATTGAAAAACGGTTAACACACGACTCACAACTGATGTCGTTTGAACAGTTCCGGAACAAGTGTTTCACTGACGAATTTTGTTCGAACCACAACGCTGTAAATGCTTCAACCACGTACTGTAAATAATCGCCAACAGAACCTAAAAACCTAACCTAACCTATGCCTAAATATGCACAATATGCTAATATATTAAAATATTAATTTATATTTGAGAAAATTTTTGTTTTGAATGAACAGCATGTTAAAATTTATGAATGCGTCCGTGGGGTCGACCGCTGGATGGAATGGACTTGAGTCGAGGACGGGTTGAAGAAAGGACACTTTTGTACGACAGTTTCTTGACGTTGGGAAACCTTAGGAGGACGGGCTGGGACGCGAACGCTGGTCGCCAGCTACAGTATATTTTGATTTCGGTATTGAGTTCACTTTATTTTGAGAAAATGATAAAAGATAAAAATCTGTATTTTAAATAAAATTTCCTGTCTCGTCTTGACATATCTTGGCTAGTTGGAGAGGGGGTATATATTTTTTTATTAAAATTAACAAGCTTAGGTATATACAGCAATATGCTGCTTCACTATTCTGTATCTTCTTGAAGTTATCTTGAGATGATTTCGGGGCTTAGCGTCCCCGCGGCCCGGTCCTCGACCAGGCCTCCTTTTTGTTACACACCCCTCAGGAAGTAACCCGTAGCAGCAGTCTAACTCCCAGGTGCCTATTTACTGTATGAAGGACTACACAGTGTAGATCAAAAACTCACCTACAGGCTCATCCAACATCCCCACCTCACAGGACGGCCAGTCATACGTGGAATGAGAAGAGAACCTGAAATATAACAGCGGCAACAGAGGAGTCGGGAAATGGCGGGGAGGAGGAGGAGGAGGAGGAGGGAAGGGGGTGCTCATTCCCATTCCTGTTACCCGTCACCAGAGGAGTGGGTTCGACCCTGTGTGAGAGAGGCGGTGCGGGGTGGCTATGGGCCCCTGCACCGACCACTCCTTCACTTCAGACAAAGCTTCTGGAGTTTGGCTACTGTTAAAGTGAATGTTAAAAACACTTGAAATTTTGATTTGCTTCCAGTGTTGCCATTGTGCCGGGCCCGGGTCTGTATTCCCACGTCAACTCTCCCGCCACCAGCCGTTGCCTACACCGCTGATGAACCGTGAAAGTAACTACTTTGTGTTGGTACTCATCCTGCCCCTCGCGGGCTCTATAGTGTTGCCGTGTTCCCTCGCGGGCTCTAGCGCTGCCTCGCCCCCCTCGCGGGCTCTAGTGCTGCCGTGTTCCCTCGCGGGCTCTAGTGTTGCCTTGTTCCCTCGCGGGCTCTAGTGTTGCCGTGTTCCCTCGCGGGCTCTAGTGTTGCCGTGTTCCCTCGCGGGCTCTAGTGCTGCCGTGTTCCCTCGCGGGCTCTAGTGCTGCCGTGTTCCCTCGCGGGCTCTAGTGCTGCCGTGTTCCCTCGCGGGCTCTAGTGCTGCCGTGTTCCCTCGCGGGCTCTAGTGCTGCCGTGTTCCCTCGCGGGCTCTAGTGCTGCCGTGTTCCCTCGCGGGCTCTAGTGTTGCCGTGTTCCCTCGCGGGCTCTAGTGCTGCCGTGTTCCCTCGCGGGCTCTAGTGTTGCCGTGTTCCCTCGCGGGCTCTAGTGTTGCCGTGTTCCCTCGCGGGCTCTAGTGCTGCCGTGTTCCCTCGCGGGCTCTAGTGCTGCCGTGTTCCCTCGCGGGCTCTAGTGTTGCCGTGTTCCCTCGCGGGCTCTAGTGTTGCCGTGTTCCCTCGCGGGCTCTAGTGCTGCCGTGTTCCCTCGCGGGCTCTAGTGTTGCCTTGTTCCCTCTCCTAACCTACCAGAGGACCCAAAACAGAAAACGGGACAGTATGTCAATTTGGCGAGCCGCTACCATTTTCTAGTACGACGATTTTTGACCTTAGGTGGAGTATACGTCAATATGCGACGCTCTATAAGGAGGACGGGTTAGCCTCGTAGCTGAGCCCACCCGGGGGAGTGAGTCGAGTCTATTAGTCATAAGCTTCCCGTCCTCTCGACTAGTGCGTCGCTATGGTAACCAACGTACCAAACACATCGTGTTATGAAAAGTAGCACTTAACAAAAATCCACGTTCTTTTTTGCAGCGGGTTGGTTAGGTTAGGTGGGTTGCTTGGGTTTGTGCGTTTCTAATTAGGATAGGACGTTGTATTTTGTACGTTGTGGCGAACCGAGAGAGAACGTGAGCAACCTCTGCTCGTTCCCGGTTCCTCGTTGCTGGAGAACGTACCTCAGGAAGCTTGTAACATCTGCTGATGTAGATCTGACTAAATGTAAACTCTGTCAGCAGAACTATTCGCATACTTTGCGTCATTATATAATGGAATGTGACAAAATCGCGGAATTTAGAGATAACACCATCAATGTTGTTTAAGAAATGTGTAAGTACTTCATTCATAATGATGTGCTGCCAGGAATCTTAGTGAAGTATTCAAAATTTGCTTACTGTAGGTGCAGCCTGCACATGACTGTAAAGCTGCCGCCCAGTTGGGTGGGTGTGGAGCACATGACTGTAAAGCTGCCGCCCAGTTGGGTGGGTGTGGAGCACATGACTGTAAAGCTGCCGCCCAGTTGGGTGGGTGTGGAGCACATGACTGTAAAGCTGCCGCCCAGTTGGGTGGGTGTGGAGCACATGACTGTAAAACTGTCGCCCAGTTGGGTGGGTGTGGAACACATGACTGTAAAGCTGCCGCCCAGTTGGGTGGGTGTGGAGCACATGACTGTAAAGCTGCTGCCCAGTTGGGTGGGTGTGGAGCACATGACTGTAAAGCTGCCGCCCAGTTGGATGGGTGTGGAGCACATGACCGTAAAGCTGCCGCCCAGTTGGGTTGGTGTGGAGCACATGACTGTAAAGCTGCCGCCCAGTTGGGTGGGTGTGGAACACATGACTGTAAAGCTGCCGCCCAGTTGGGTGGGTGTGGAGCACATGACTGTAAAGCTGCCGCCCAGTTGGGTGGGTGTGGAGCACATGACTGTAAAGCTGCCGCCCAGTTGGGTGGGTGTGGAGCACATGACTGTAAAGCTGCTGCCCAGTTGGGTGGGCGTGGAGCACATGACTGTAAAGCTGCCGCCCAGTTGGGTGGGTGTGGAGCACATGACTGCAAAGCTGCCGCCCAGTTGGGTGGGTGTGGAGCAAGACTAGTAACTGTGTGACTCACTATAGATGTAAAGTGCCTTGTATAGTGACTGTTGTGAGCCTCTTGTTGAATCACCTGTGATATAAAAAGATTGATATGTATATGTGTGTGTAAATGATTGCATGTACATGTGCATATATAAACAAAATATATGTACATATTATGTACATATATATATTGAATATATGTAGACCACGGTGGTCTCTGGGTCTAGAGTGCCTGTGCCGTCTTTTACCAACTTCGAGGTAAACTCCAGAGTTCGAGCCCTTGTGGGCAATTCGTTGTTGCTTTCAACATCGTTCAGACAGTTCCTGCGACGGCGCTGGAACGAGTCGTATTGACGTTGGGCTTTCCATTGGAGACCTTCGATACCGTTGAGAAGGGGGTGGGGACCTGCTGCATGGTTATCTTGAGGTTATCTTGAGATGATTTCGGGGCTTTTAGTGTCCCCGCGGCCCGGTCCTCGACCAGGCCTCCACCCCCAGGAAGCAGCCCATGACTGCTGACTAACACCCAGGTACCTATTTTACTGCTAGGTAACAGGGGCATAGGATGAAAGAAACTCTGCCCATTAATGGCTGCATGGGTGACAGCTTCTCCCCAGTATCAACCTATTCTGGCTTTGCGCCCTGGAGAGCTAAGCCAGTCTAGACCGACAACCAGAGCGCAACTCCACAGTCTCCTGAGACTGATGGATGACTACTACTATGTAACATTAACATCTGTGTAACTAACTTCAAAATACTGAACCTACATGAACTATGAGGTTCAGTTCTTGAACCCATTATGTGCCTCTGTAACCCTTTCCACCACCACCCACGGGATGGGTATGGGGTGCATAATAAAGAAAGAAATTGAATTGAATTGAAGCGGTTCAGTATGAGGCGAGGTAAGAGCGGCGTGGGCCGTGGAGGTCCCGTGGGCCGTGGAGGCCCCGTGGGCCGTGGAGGTCCCGTGGGCCGTGGAGGTCCCGTGGGCCGTGGAGGTCCCGTGGGCCGTGGAGGTCCCGTGGGCCGTGGAGGTCCCGTGGGCCGTGGAGGTCCCGTGGGCCGTGGAGGCCCCGTGGGCCGTGGAGGTCCCGTGGGCCGTGGAGGTCCCGTGGGCCGTGGAGGTCCCGTGGGCCGTGGAGGTCCCGTGGGCCGTGGAGGCCCCGTGGGCCGTGGAGGTCCCGTGGGCCGTGGAGGTCCCGTGGGCCGTGGAGGTCCCGTGGGCCGTGGAGGTCCCGTCACTCCCGCACGCTCAACACGTCATCCTGAGGCGAGACTGTGGAGCATGTTCAGGTGGTACTACCGTGGACATCTCGCCTGATGGACTCATTTGGCAGTATTGGCAGAATCAAATGCCGGCCTCCTGGTAGACCACGCCGCTACGAGGGTCAGGAGCTATGGGGTCAAGAGGACCAATGCGTGATGTACGCGGCCAAGAGTGCAAGGCTTGGCTTTCCCCGTATCACAGCCTGCCAAACAGTGATTATCACAGTAGGACGTTACCCCCCTCCCCCATCCCAAATCACTATACCTCCTGTCCCTCGCTTTCCCCGTCCCCCGCCTTCACTCCCCCTTCCCCATCCACCAAGGAAAAACGGCAGCATTTTGATTCTGAAATGTGTACACCATATTCCGCGCGTTCATGTGCGGAATGCAATGTTCTTCCTCATGACTGGGTTCCCTTTCCTCTCCTTTCTCCCTCGTTCCTTTCTTCTAGCTGCCCCCTCTCTCCTTCCTAGCTTCCTGCCCCACTTTCATCCTATCTTGTTCCTTTCCTTTTGCTTCTTCACTTACCGTTCTTTCTTGCGTTCACTACCTCATTCTCCTCTGGTGTTCAGGTTTGAACAACATAGGAGAATGAGGTCTTATCTTCCCCCCCCCCCATCTGTTTATGTTCTCTCTAACTCCGTTCTTTCTGTTCATTTCTCGTCTTCCCAAATTTTCTCTTATTTTGCTTCTGCATTAACATACCCTGAGGTTACCTTGAGATAATTCCGGGGCTTAGCGTCCCCGCGGCCCGGTCGTCGACCAGGCCTCCTAGTTGTTGGACTGGTCAACCAGGCTGTTGGACGCGGCTTCTCGCAGCCTGACGTATAAATCACAGCCTGGTTGATCAGGTATCCTTTGGAGGTGCTTATCCAGTTCTCTCTTGAACACTGTGAGTGGTCGGTCAGTTATGCCTCCTACGTGTAGAGGAAGCGTCTTGAACAGTCTCGGGCCTCTGATGTTGATAGAGTTCTCTCTCAGATTTGATTTGATTGTTGCCGCCCGAGGCAGCTAATTTATTGTGCACCCCATACTCATCCTGTGAGCGGTAGCGCAAAAAGCATTACAGAGGGCATAAAAGGTCTTTATCAGACCTCATCTTAGATTATTACATAAACAATTTCATCTATCCTTCACACCTTATAGTTACAATGTCAGCTAGTTACAGAGAAAGTGCTACCTCAAGAGCTATATATTTACAGTAAGTCATCATACATTAATGGTAGGTCTTATCGCTAATACATAATAGTTTGAGCAATGGAGATAGTCATAGGGTAGCTTCTGTTTATTATTAGTCTTCACAATACACTACTTGTTTCTTCATCTCATATGTCGTTTATCTACTGGAAGCAAAATATGGATACAGTGCAAGAATTTCAGGTAATTTATCCATAGTAATAAGATAGGATGCCATGTCATACAGGGTGAGCTTAGATTTATCTCTTAATGGCTCAACTTTACTACAATCCAAGATATAGTGTTCGAGTGTGTGTCCCTGTCTTTGTCCACACACTTTACACTTTACTTCATCTAGATCCCTATACAAGCCGAACTGTCAGAGTTACTTGTAGCCAAGTCTTATACGAGCTGTGACAACATCTGTTAGTCTACTGACTTTGTTACTTGCCCCATACACATGTTTTACTTCACACATTTCATTGTGATGAACAATAGACCTGCTAGTTCCAGTTTGCACTGTTCTACTTTCTTCAAATCCATCCAGGAGTTCATGTCTAATGACACTTTTCTGGGACCTATTTGATAACTCAAGATTCCAGAGTACCTATTGCTCCTCGCTCTACCTCCATCTCCCTGCCTGTTTCCTCTGTTTCATCTCTGCCTCTTCCACTGTCAATCGTACTTTTCTTATTTCTCCGTGACGTCAAAGTTGCTTTGGGTGTTACTTATTACTTACTTATTACTGACTCTGTTCCTCTCGTGTCTTCTCTAAATTATGTTTCTTTAATCCCCCCCCCCTTTTTCCTCTTCTTCCCTTTTCTCGGCATATTTTTTTTTTCATTTTCGCCCTGCTTTTCCCTTGTCCATTTCTGTATGTTCTCATGTTTCTCTTCTTCACTCTTTTTTGCCAGCTGTTTAGTCTCTCATTTGATTTCTCTGCTTTCTGTGAGTGTTTCTGTAGCTCCCTTCCCCTTACTCTCTTGCTCCCTCCCCTTACTCTCTAGCTCCCTCCCCTTACTCTCTCTCGCTCCCTCCCCTTACTCTCTCACACTGTGTTACTCCTTTCCTTTCTTTACTCTTGTGTAAAGTCTCTCGTGGGGTCACAATTTCGTTTCTCTTTTACTCTCCCCCGCTCTCTCTCTCTCTCTCTCTCTGTTTAATTTTTTTTCCTTTCTTCCTCTTTCTCTCATTCACTGCTTCTGTTTCTCTTTCGTTCTCTGTTCCCCCTTCCCTATCTTTCTCTTTCTTATTCTCCCCTGTTACAGCGGCGGGCATGTTGAGCGGGCAGCAGTGTCTTGATACGGGTCGGGCCATTGTTCGAGGCAGCCCGGCCATGAATTAAGAACCGTTGAAAGTTGCTACATGTTGAAGAGTGCTCCAGTCGAGTGCCATTCAGCCCATTTATTTGCATACCTCCGTCCACTCCGCCCTAAACGGCCGAGACGCCAGAGTGGGAGAGGGGAGGAAGGGGTGAAGGGAGGGGTAAAGGGGAAAGGGGGAGGGGTTAAAGAAAGAATTGTCGCCCCCCTTCCCCCTTGTGTGTGTGGACTTTGTGATTTGATAAAGGCGATATATAGATTTTTGTTGTACTTGTCCTCTGGCGTTGACATAGTGAGCTCAACATTGTGGTGTGACTAATGACTATCAGATGGGCGCTGGGAAACATTAACGGTTAGTTCATTAGACATAAACAATGGGGGCGAGGCACTCGAGTGGACGGTCTGGTTCCCGGGACGCTGGTTCAAGTCCCGCCCTGAGCTCTTGTCAGAGGCCTCCGCGGGACCTGCATTATACGAATCATACATACCTACATATTTACATACATATATATATATATATATTTATTTAACTCGTTTCTCTGCCACCGTCGACGAGGGCGTTCTGGGAACCGTTTCGTGCCTCGGGAGGCGGAGGAGCAGCAGGCGTTCCTACACCTGTTTCCATCTGCTTTTCCATTGCTATTTCTGGCCAGGTTCGGTGAGTACTAGTGGGACAGTCAAGCGTGCACTGGTCCATGTCCCACTACCCTGGCCTCTACTGTAGCGTGTACTGGTCCATGTCCCACTACCCTGGCCTCTACTGTAGCGTGTACTGGTCCATGCTCCTCTACCCTGGCCTCTACTGTAGCGTGTACTGGTCCATGTCCCACTACCCTGGCCTCTACTGTAGCGTGTACTGGTCCATGTCCCACTACCCTGGCCTCTACTGTAGCGTGTACTGGTCCATGTCCCACTACCCTGGCCTCTACTGTAGCGTGTACTGGTCCATGTCCCACTACCCTGGCCTCTACTGTAGCGTGTACTGGTCCATGTCCCACTACCCTGGCCTCTACTGTAGCGTGTACTGGTCCATGTCCCACTACCCTGGCCTCTACTGTAGCGTGTACTGGTCCATGTCCCACTACCCTGGCCTCTACTGTAGCGTGTACTGGTCCATGTCCCACTACCCTGGCCTCTACTGTAGCGTGTACTGGTCCATGTCCCACTACCCTGGCCTCTACTGTAGCGTGTACTGGTCCATGCTCCTCTACCCTGGCCTCTACTGTAGCGTGTACTGGTCCATGCTTCTCAACCCTGTCCTCTACTGTAGCGTGTACTGGTCCATGCTCCTCTACCCTGGCCTCTACTGTAGCGTGTACTGGTCCATGCTCCTCTACCCTGGCCTCTACTGTAGCGTGTACTGGTCCATGCTCCTCTACCCTGGCCTCTACTGTAGCGTGTACTGGTCCATGTCCCACTACCCTGAGCTAGGTTAGGCCTCCCTTCCCATTTTGAGAGAGGTATCTTTCCTCCCTTAGCGAGGCAGGCCACTCTGGCTCCCTTAGCGAGGCAGGCCACTCTGGCTCCCCTTAGCGAGGCAGGCCACTCTGGCTCCCCTTAGCGAGGCAGGCCACTCTGGCTCCCTTAGCGAGGCAGGCCACTCTGGCTCCCTTAGCGAGGCAGGCCACTCTGGCTCCCCTTAGCGAGGCAGGCCACTCTGGCTCCCCTTAGCGAGGCAGGCCACTCTGGCTCCCCTTAGCGAGGCAGGCCACTCTGGCTCCCTTAGCGAGGCAGGCCACTCTGGCTCCCCTTAGCGAGGCAGGCCACTCTGGCTCCCCTTAGCGAGGCAGGCCACTCTGGCTCCCCTTAGCGAGGCAGGCCACTCTGGCTCCCCTTAGCGAGGCAGGCCACTCTGGCTCCCCTTAGCGAGGCAGGCCACTCTGGCTCCCCTTAGCGAGGCAGGTCACTCTGGCTCCCTTAGCGAGGCAGGCCACTCTGGCTCCCCTTAGCGAGGCAGGCCACTCTGGCTCCCTTAGCGAGGCAGGCCACTCTGGCTTCCTTAGCGAGGCAGGCCACTCTGGCTCCCCTTAGCGAGGCAGGCCACTCTGGCTCCCTTAGCGAGGCAGGCCACTCTGGCTCCCTTAGCGAGCCGTTTACATTATCCAGGAAATAAGTATTTACGTTGTATAAAAGACTAACCATTTTGATTATATTAATGTTTGTAAGTGTTGGTACTGGGTGTTCGGGAACATGCTCGCCTCAGACAGATCTTTCAATAATTATAATTTTATGACAAACTGGACAAAGATTTTTCCAGAGATTTTTCCAAAGATTTTTTTTTTGTCTGCCTGTGAGGTGGCGCTGCCTGTCTGCCTGTGAGGTGGCGTGCCTGTCTGCCTGTGAGGTGGCGCTGCCTGTCTGCCTGTGAGGTGGCGCTGCCTGTCTGCCTGTGAGGTGGCGCTGCCTGCCTGCCTGTGAGGTGGCGCTGCCTGCCTGCCTGTGAGGTGGCGCTGCCTGTCTGCCTGTGAGGTGGCGCTGCCTGTCTGCCTGTGAGGTGGCGCTGCCTGTCTGCCTGTGAGGTGGCGCTGCCTGTCTGCCTGTGAGGTGGCGCTGCCTG